CCACACCAGGACTCCAGGACTCCTAATAGTGTTTGTCAGTCCGTGTGACAGTGAGATTAGTGCTTACTAAGTGGAAAATGTAAGATGACCCAGCCAGCCTGTGGCATAGGGTTAAGTCTGCGTTCCTCATTCTAGAATGTCAGAAACTTCTGACTGTCGTGAAGTCTGCAGTTCCCAGTCTGTGGTTGGCAAGATGAAGGTGGACTATCCTACTCTTTCTGTCCAGACCCATGATGGTATGGGTGTCTTCTCTACTCTGCCTCCCAAGGACAGTATAGCACTCAGATATAGTCAAAACCCCAAACCCCAAACTCGCTGCCATCAAGTCAATTCCTACCCATAGTGTCCCTAGAGGACGGGGTAGAATTGTTCCTTAGGATTTCCGAGAATATAAATCTTTACAAGAGCAGACAGCTTCATCTTTCCCCCCAATGAACAGCTGGTGAGTTTGAACTGTCAGCCTTAGGATTAGCAGCCCAAAGTTTACCCCACTGTGCCATTAAGGTCATTTTGGGGTGGATCTTTTGTTGTTGTTAAGTGACGTCGAGTCGATTCCAACCCATAGTGACCCTGTATAGGGTTTCCAAGGAGCAGCTGGTGAGCTTGAACCACTGACCTTGCAGTTCAAATGACGTTGCAGTCTGACGCATTAGCCCACAGTGTGCCACACCAGGACTCCAGGGTGAACCTCTCTTTTAACAAGTACCAATGTGATCATGATACAGATGCTCAGGACCACACCTCAAACAGCCATCTAAAGGTGTAGTTTTCAAACTGGTGGTTGAGACCCACTAACAAATCTTGAAATTAGTTCACTGTGATCAGCATTAGAAAAAGAACAGGAAGAGAGAAAGGAAGGAAGAGCTAGAAAGTACTAGTGTCTTCCTTGTAGTAGCAGTAAGTTCCAGAGTGTAGCAAATCTTGTAGTTAGCCGTCAAATGCTTAACCCACTGCACCATCAGGGCTCCTCAGATATACTCAAGTGCTTACATAAATGCTTGGTGGGTTGAATGGAATTTGGTTGGAGTTATAAAGTTTCTTAAAAATAAATTCACCCATAGTCTGTTGTTGTTAAGTGTCATCGAGTCAGTTCCTACTCATAGTGACTGGTGGGTTTGAATCACCAACCTTGCAGTTAGCAGTCCAGTGCTTACCCTACAGCACCACACCAGCACTTCAAGTTTGGGATTCTTTAAAACCTAACTGGGGACTTGAAGATACTTGCAAAATAAATTAAATGCAGAATACTTTGGGATTTTTTTTTTTTTAATTGAAAATTTACAGTCTTTTCCAGTAGTCTGACTTATCCCTAATGCTACAGATTTTTTTGCTTTTTATTTTTTTGTGATGCTTCTTTATTCTGTTTTTCAAAATATTTAAATCAATTATCTTAAAGAACAAAAACAAAACCCCAAATTGTTCTCTTTGCACTTCAGATACATCAGTTATGTGATAGCTACTAATTGATGCAAATATAATTAAAATACAAATAGAAGCAAGTTCGGGAAATCACACAACTAATTCACAGTTGGCATTCTGCTGGGAGTAGAATTGCTGGGTAGATAATAGAGTAGGTTCGAGCGTTCAGTATGCTTATAACAGCAGTAGATTATACAGAATCCATTGTGGGTTGGTGTATTTTATTAAAGAAGAATACACCATGAAATCTCTGAGCTGCATTAACAACAAAAGTCAGTTGAGAAATACTCTAGTGTATGGCATTTGTTTTCTCTCTCTTTTTAAAAAATATTTCCTATCCAGAAGAATGTAAGCCTATGAGAAATGGAAAAACAAGTAAGAACTGACTCCATGTGGGTCAGCATCAAACTGTACTCCACAGGGTTTTCAAGGATTTATTTTTCAGAAATAGATTACCAGGCTTTTTTTGGAGGCACCTTTGGGTGGGTATGACCACCCATATCCTCTCAGTTAGCAGTCAAGTATGTAACTGCTTGCACCACCCAGGGGCTCTTCATGAGATCAGAGGCCTCATCAATTTTCTCCAGTGCCACGTGTCCCCAAAGTTTAGAACTGTATCTGGCACACAGTAGGTATTCAATAATGTTTATTGAATGAATGGATTTTTCTTTTTTCCTAATGACTGTACTTACTCATTTTTGTAACCTCTGAAGACCTGTGACCTTTCTTATGTTCATTTTGAAATGAGGCAAGATGGCTACATTTATAGAAGTCGTCTTTCTGCCTCCACTCTCCTTGCTCCCACCTACATACTTTAAAACAAACCTGATCGTCTCTCTCCTCTTCTTAACGTGCTTTAATGGCGATGCCTCGCTTTCACTATAACATCCAAACTCACTAATAAATCATCGTCATAGCAGTTAACATATATCAAACAATGACTTTGTCATGCCCCATTCTAAGCTCCTTATGGGTGCTAATCCATTTACTTCTCACAACCCAAGGAATTAGGTGCTATTACTGCCCTCACTTAATAGGAGCAGAAATGAGACATGGAGAGACAAAGCAACTTGCTGAAGGGCATCTGGCTGGTAGTCAGTAGAACCAGGTAATGAACCAATCTGACTTCAAAGCCCATGATTTAATCACCTTGGCACATCACACTCTTCTTCTGTGAATAAAAGTGAGACTGAAGCAGGGAGAAAAGGGCGCCCAGAAATCAGGATTAAACATGAACCACTTGCTGACTGAAGTCTTGTATGACCTAAACCTTAAGGAATGTTGAGGCCTGCTTACTTAAGCAATTGTAAAGATCTGTGGGACAGGCTCAGGGCACATAACTGAGCAGCCACATCCTGGGACATGCCGTTAAGAAAGACTATCCATAAAAACTCCATTGTTTACTTCCTTATAGTATGGGACATGCCATTAAGGAAGGACCCCCAAAGCCTGTTAACAAGATAACATGTCATAGAGAAGAAACACAGCCAAAGCTTACTGCGTCATGGTTAAGACAATGAAATTATGTCTCAGAGAACTCCCAAATAGCTTAACCTTCTACTTATTGTTGTTGTTATGTGCCGTGGAGTCGGTTCCGACTCATAGCGACCCTGTACAGGGTTTCCGAGGCTGTAAATCTTTACGGGAGCAGAAAGCCTCATCTTTCTCCCGTGGAGCAGCTGGTAGTTTCGAACTGCTAACCTTAAGGTTCACAGCCCGATTCGTAACCACTACGCTACCAGAGACCGAAGCCTTCCTGCATTGAACTGGAATCTCCCTTTCAGTGTATTTATGAGTACATTCTGATGTTCAGAAGAATCCTCCCCACTTTCCAATGACATCTCATAGACTAATAGATCAATGCATCAAAGTTCCAGGTGACATTGGAGTCTCAAATTTTTCAGAGAAAATTTGGTCCATCTTTTTCATATAATTAAATACATTCTTGATAAATACATTGCTTGAAAGCCAGTTGACACTGTTTTTCAGAATAACCTCCCAGAGATCATGTTTTGAGAACAAGAAGGTCTTTGTAGTTCTGTTGTTAAGCTTTGGCTTCTTTCTTTGGCTGAGCCCATAGGAAAATGTCATTATGGTCCTTGCATCAGGACGCGCACCCTGTGTGTAAATCTTTACGGGAGCAGAAAGCCTCATCTTTCTCCCGTGGAACAGCTGGTAGTTTCGAACTGATGACCCTGAGTTTAGCAGCCGAATTCGTAACCACTACACTACCAGAGAACAATACTAAATCTAACCGCAAGGAAAGAGAAGAAAGCTTACTGACCTTGTGCAGCTCCACAGGAGTCGGGGACATGATATCCTTTATTTCTTGCTTCATTTTTCGCAGTGTTACAGACTTCCTGCCTACATCTGAGGGCAGGGTGTTGCTCCGAGTCGTTTGGCTATAGTGCGGTCGAGAGGTGCTCCGTTCCTGGAAGCTGGCCTGTCGTCCCAGCTGACTGCGAGGTGTGGGGACCTCATGATTCAAGCTCATCGTGCTCCCCGACATGATTGTTGCCTGTGGCATTAACAATTTTCAGAAACAATTAAGTCATGGACTAAAGGAAAGGTCTGGTGGCTCAACATTAAGCACATTTCTCCCTTTGCCCAATCAAAATACAGTCTCTTCAGGGCATATCCAAAGGCTGGAGAATGGATGTACTAATTGAACCACAAGAGGATGGGAAAGCACTTTGCAAGTGACATTTATAACGTATATCTCAAATCTAATTTAAGTACTTAAGTCATGAAGTTTATTTAATCAAATACCACCCCTGGCAGTTTTGAAGCAAATCGAAAAGCTCTAACATTTGCTTACTACCAACTACATTCTAAGCATTAACTTTCCATGAAATGAGCTCTAACAGATGGGACTCAACACATCTTACAGAAATGAATGAAGAGTTTCTCAATAGGGGCCAGGCTGTTTCTATTTGCAATGTCGTCTTCAACTCCAACTGAAGCTAACAAATGGCTGGAAAGGCGTTATTGATCCAAAGAAGAGGGGTCCTTCTTTGGATCAATAAGAGTGCTCACACTTAGATGAGGGGCTTCAAAAAGTTCATGGAAAAATAGAATGAAAAGATAATGGAATTTTCCCATGAACTTTTTGAAACCCCCTTATACATATTATATATGTATTATATACAGTGCCTACTGAGTGCTTATATTTTGTTTCTCCTTACGCCAAGTAGCCTATCTGGGAGACTTGTAGATCATCTCAGTAAATCTTAGCTGCAGCATAAGATTTATTGAGAGGTTAATAAATAATCAATTATTATGTTACTGAATTCTATCCTTTGTTTAAAAGCTGTTAAGACTTGTATTGAATATTACCATTTATTGGGAAGTTTCCTAAGTTTCAAATGTCATTGTTAGTTGCTATCGAGTTAATTGTGACTCATGGCAACCCCCTCAGTGCAGAGTAGAATGACTTCATAGTGTTTTCAAGGCTGTTACCTTTCTGAAGCAGATGGCCACATCTCCCAGGTGTCTCTGGGTGATTTTGGACTCTCAACCTTTTGGCTAATAGTTGAGTGCTTAAGTCTTTGTGTCCCAGCTTTAAAGTAAATTCCCCAAATAACACAGGCAATGGCAACATCAAACAGGACTGAGCTTCAGAACTGAAGCATGAGAAGGATTTGAAACCAACAGCCTGTTAGGGATACTCGTTTCTCATAGTTAGAAATTGTTTTGGAAGTCATACTTGGGTAACTCTGTGGTCCCTGATAGGATAGCTGTTTAAAGATAAACTAGCATCAGTGAATATGACTTAGATTATGGAAACAGGACACAAGTGCTGTATACTAGCTACATGATCTACTTATCTATATTAATACGGATGCAACTAATAACAGAAGCTTCATTTGTTGGATAATTTGAATTTACTCACTCATTTAGGCCTCGTAACAACTCTAGGAGGTAGACAATGTTATTCCTTCTAATGTACAGGTGAGGAAACTGAGGCACAAAGACGCTGATTTACCGAAGGGCACATAGCTAGAAAATCAGCCAAAAGCACTATCTAAAACACTATAGAGTGAGTAGAGTTTTCATTTGTTACATCTCTGAGATTTTATAATTCCAAAATTCACTTGGTGTTCCGCTAGACACATACTACTAATAAGATACTTTGAGTGACAGCCAAGAATTGGCACACACAGGCATAAATCTAAGTTTGTTGCTGTTGTTGTTGTTAAGTGCTGGTGAATCGGTTCCAACTCATAGTGACCCTGTAAAAGGGTTTCCAAGGAGTAGCGAGCGGGGTTTGAACTGCTGACCTTGAAGTTCACAGTCTAGTGCTGATCCTACAAAGCTCTACCAGGAATCCAAGTCTGTTGTAAACAATAACAAATAAATATCAATATCCTGATTTATTTTATTTCCCTAATAATTTTGAAAACAAAAGTTGTTATTGTAAAAACATTCTTACCCTTATGGATCATTGAGTACTAACATGCAAAGTTCTATACATGTGGATGTGTAGACTATCATTTAATACTTAGGATACTATGTGTATGGTAGATATGCTATAGGATAAGCACTCAACTGCTAACTGTAAGGCTGGCAGACCAACCCACCACCTAATCTTCACAAACCCTATACGAGTTTGCCATGAATCGGAACTGACTTGATGGCACTTAACAACAACACAATTATGATAATTCCATATGAGTTAAGGAAAAGAATTCATGGACAATAAATTATGTAACTTGCCCTACAGTCTGGGATTGAAACCCTAGTCATCTGAGAACACAACCCTTTTGACTACCTGGCTGCACTGCTCTTTGGCCTTAGGTTGAACAACATAAGACTCATTTTGTAGGTCAAGAAAACCATAGAGTAGCAACAATTCCATGTAGTTCAACTTAATATTTAAACAAATGTAGGAGTTATTAGCTATATTATACTTTACATCTGGTAAAATCCCTTTTAAAGGAGCTCTGGTAGTATAGTGGTTACGAGTCAGGCTGCTAACCTCAGGGTCAGCAATTCGAAACGACCAGTGGTTCTGCGGGAGAAAGATGAGGCTTTCTGCTCCCGTAAAGATTTTACAGCCTCAGAAACCCTATTGTTGTTGTTATGTGCTATGGAGTCGGTTCCGACTCATAGCGACCCTGCCTATACAGGGTTGCTATTAGTTGGAACCAACTCCATGGCACACCACCACCAAACCCCCCTTTTAAAGCTTATCAAAACCTTTAAACTTCTGGCTTATTGGTGTTAGGGAACATTTATTTCAATGACAGCAACTCACATGTAAGGAGTACTGGTGGCAATGTGGGCTACACATTGGACTGCAAGCCACAAGGTTGGCGGTTCAAACTCACTAGCTGCTCTGCAGGAGGAATAAACAGTCTTGGAAATCCTATGGAGCAATTCTTCCCTGGCCTGTAGGTTTTCAGTGAGTTGGAACAGACTTGATGGTAGTGAGTAACTCACATATACCATTTATTTATTAAATCTACTGTAACTGATGGCACCAATGATTGTTTTCTTGCTGCGCTGACCATCATCTATGGTTTTTACTGACTTAGATTAATTACTAGCTTTGTTAATATCTATGTTTTATATTCATCTTTTATGGGAGCAGCAGAAAACACTTTGAAAATAAAAAATTATTATATCTTAGGGACAATGGTTCCACTAAATAAGTCTTAGCAATTATAGAAAAAGTTACAAACTGACTAGAAAGGGTTATGATGTAAGCTTTTAGTTCTAGCTTTCAAAGCACGGCTTGATTTCTCTGATAAATGTAAAACTCAAATGAATTAGTGTTATCAAGGGTGTTACCTTTCTGAAGCAGATGGCCAGATCTCCCAGGTGCCTCTGGGTAATTTTGGACTCACAATCTTTTGGCTAATAGTTGAGTGCTTAAGTCTTTGTGCCCCAGCTTTAAATTAAATTCCCCAAATAACACAGGCAATGGCAACATCAAACATCATAAAGGAATATGAGCCCTTGTGTGGCATTGTAGGATAAGTACTAACTGCTAACCACAAGGTCGGCAATTCAAACCCACCAGTTCTTCTTGGAAACTCTTATAAAGTGTTGTTCTGAGTCGGAACTGACTTGACAACACACAGCAACAACATAAAGGAATATAAACATTAAAATACAAACATAAATATAAAAAGGAAAACAAAAGGTTAAAAATAGTTTAAATTTTCTAGGGTTTACTTTGGGAGGGCAGTGGCTCCATACGATAAGTACTGGACTGCGAACCACAATGTCTGTGGTTCGAGCCCACCAGCTGCTACGTGGGAGAAAATGAGGCTTTTGGCTCCTGTAATGATTTAAAACCCTTGGCAACCCTATGTAGGGTCGCTATGAGTCTGGACGGACTTGACAGCATTTGATAACAACACAGGATTTACTTTAGCATAGCTGCATAGCCTGTTTTCATTTTGCATAAGTCATAAATACATACTCTTCCAATGGCAGCTGAGAGTTCGCTATCTGGCAGAAGCTTGCATCTCTATGATATTGGCCAACTAATAGCTAAATCCATGCTAATTCATCAAGAAATAGCAAAATAATAATAAAGTTAATTTTTATTGAACATTTATTACTGTGCCATGTACCCTGTTAAGTGCTCCATAAGCATTATATTCCCAATATTTTAGCAAAGAAGAAATATCTATTCAGAGAAGTTAAGTAATTTGTGAAGTCCCTACAGCAAGAAATTCTCTCCTTTGTTAAAACTGCTTTTTCAGTACTAAAGTTGAATTGCAATTGTTGCTAGCAGTAAGGAAAAATAATGAAATTAATTTATTTTCATGCCAACTCTAATCATTTTTAGTCTTAGAGAATCTTCTACATTTATTATTGTTATAGTAAAGTTTTCTTTTTAATACTGGATGTAAATATCACATACAGAAACCTACCTCCAATTTTTTTCTTTTACATAAGAATAGTTTTAGTCAAGGGGTTGGCATTCATTTAAACTAATGATGAATATTTTTTGTGACAAAATTATAAATAAGATTTTAATTAATTATGAATTTATCAGTCATATGCCCTTGATGAGGACTTTTATTTTGTTTAGTTTATAAATTCAAGCCATTTTCTGTCTGCATCTATACTTTCAAGGACTATACCTGCCTCAAATTAAGTTACAGTTACAGGTTGTTGTAACTTAATTTCTTATTTTTATGAGATAATTCAATTTCTGGGTAAAAGTAACAACTTCATTTTGTTACTTTCCATTATCATCTTTTTCCACTATGTAAAAGAAGTTATTCAAAGAATAATTTTAAAGGAGTAGTGGTGGTTATATGCCGTGACGTCGGTTCCGACTCATAGTGACTCTGCATAGGGTTTCCGAGGCTGTAAATCTTTACAGGAGCAGAAAGCCTCATCTTTCTCCCACAAAACAGCTGGTAGTTTCGAACTGCTGACCTTAAGGTTCACAGCCTGATTCGTAACCACTACACTAAAGACATACAGGCTAAAACCAGCCTTCAAAAGCAGGGGTATGCTTGGGAATTACGAATTGTGCCCATTTTTCAGTTTGGGCTCTTTTTCCTGATCATTCTACATACAGGAAGTGGTAAGAGTTTAAATAAGCCATCGGATACTGATACATTCTACTCTTTTTGAAACTTTCATAAAAAGGAATCAAAAACTGACATCTTGATTTATTTAAGTTTTATAGCATTATCCATCTCCAGATCCTTTAACTGTGCTCTGAAGCTGAAATTCATGCCAGGTAAGATTGTGATGTTTAGAGTCAAACTAATATTTTCCTTTACAACTCAATTTGCAGATTCACAAACATTAGAATCACATAAAATATCCACACATGCAGTCGAGAAGCAAAAAAATATAAAGATGAGTAATCATTTTAGAATCGCAAGAGTTTCACCCAATTATGCCATTCACATTCCTTATGGTGACTTGGGACCCCATATGACATCAAACTAAAAATGAGATCTTTGCCACTTTATTTTTCACAGCTCAGAAAACTAAAAAGAACATAAAAGGAAACAGTCCAGGACTTCCTAGACCAATGAGTGAATTCTGTCAGCAAATTCATGGCTTTGATTAAAGAGCCCACCAGGAGTTCAACTATTACACGACATCTCACTCCTCCTGGAATTTACACTAAAGGATAATATAAAATCAGGATTTGCACCGAACAGGGAAGTTCTATGTATTATTTTGGCTGCCTATAAAACAGATCAGCCTTTTCCACCAGCTATATTGGAATCTACTTAAGGGCAAGACAAGTAAAATAAAATTTCCTCTTATGTTCCTCTTAAGGACCAAATTAATTTCTATACCAGGTACAAATGAAAACATGCCAAAGAAACCTTTCTAAAGCAACTAAGAGGATGAGATGCGCCACTGCTGGGAGACTTAGCTCGCTCCTTAGCGGTTTGGTGGGAAACATGTACAGTCAGGGTTAGCAGGGAGCAATGGCGGAAGCCACAAGTCAGTAAGCTTGGGAGTGTGGAAATGGGGAAATAAATACTATCAACTGCATCATATAAAATCAAATCACTTTCCAGAGGGCAAGGGGGAAGGGGAGGCAGCTTCACAAGCAAAAATACAAACATAAAGGGTAGGTACCAAGAGAGTCATGTTTCTCAAAGACAGACGCCTGTCAGCTTTCTCCTGTGGAAAGGGGTTAAAGCTTTTAAATGACTGGTGTGGTAAATGCGAACTAAAAAGGACCAAAAAAAAATGAATGTAGAAACAATACAGTTAAATAGCAGGGCTGAGGCTACCTCAAGTTCTCTCAGAATTCCTGATTGTCCACAGGTTTCTAAATCTTCCAGCGCTTGAGACCAGAAGTTCTCTTCTTGTTCCACCTCAACACTGTCAGGAGCCCCTGCAAAACTGGTGTTGAGAAGCACAGTCTTGTTAAGAACTTGCCAAACATAATTGCTTTTTGTCTGTGTCCAGAATCTCTCTCCTTCATCTCACACACATACAGAGATTCATTTTAGGGCTGTCTTTCTTGCAACTGTCGCTTCTGAGTAAAGCCAAGTCCAAGGCCAAAGTGCTTTGTTGCTATTGAGTTGGTTTTCGACGCATAGTGAACCAATGTGATAGAGTACAACTATCCTATAGGATTTCTTAGCCTGTAATGCTTAAGGTAGCATAGTGGTTACGAATCGGGCTGTGAACCGCAAGGTCAGCAGTTTGAAACTACCAGCCGCTCCGCGGGAGAAAGATGAGGCTTTCTGCTCCTATAAAGGTTTACAGTCGCTATCAGAAACCCCATACAGGGTCACTATAAGTTGAAAATGACTTGACAGCACTTAAAAATAAAGAGTCCTATAAGGTTGAAATGAGTTAGAATAGACTTGATAGCAAGAGGATTTTTTTTTTTTTTTTTTAGGTCTTTAGGGATGCAGAATCAGGTTTTTTTTTCCCGTGAGGAGCTGAAGAACCACTAGGTTTGAACTGCGTTCAACTAGTTTGAACTGCAGCCCTTTTAGCTAGAATCGAAGCTAGGAAATCCTATGGGATAGTTTTACTCTATCATATTGGGTCGCTAAGGAGCTCTGGTAGCGTAGTGGTTACAAATCGGGCTGCGAACCGCAAGGTCAGTAGTTTGAAACTACCAGCTGTTCCGTGGAAGAAAGATGAGACTTTCTGCTCCCGTAAAGATTTATAGTCTCGGAAACCCTGTACAGGGTCACTGTGAGTCGGGACTGACTCCACAGACATGACAACAACAACAACGAGTTGAAAACCACACAATGGCACTCAATAACAACAAAGCATCCTCACTTTGGACTTGGCTTTATTTGGAAGCCACACTTAACTGTTTTGTCACTAGGGAGCCTTAAGTTTGCTCTAGGAGATGCAGGGTTGTAAGAAAAGAAACAATGGGTCACAGTGTTACTAAGCAGTTTCAGGATATTCAGGGCTATGGCTGAATGAGCTGTGTCAATGTGGTTCTAGTGTGAATATTTCAGCTTCTATATCTACAGGCAAAGAATAAGTAAATTTTCTCTATGAAATAATATACATTTTTTTCTATTTATTATAAACATTTAAAATTAGTTGAGCACTATTACCGTTTATGATGTCCTTAAAGTACCATGGTAAGGAACAAAGTGCCTAACTATACTTCTTAGTTAAAACTATGTAGCCCTCAAAGTGTCTTTATTAATTTTTTAACGCAACTTAATGTGAAACTAGAGAGGAAAGGGATGAGTTGTAACAAAATGAGGACATATCGTTTATATAAAGTCTATTTTGCCAAGTGAGACTATTATTTCATTCGGGGAACCTGACTCTTGTGCCATGTGTGGTGGTGCCCAAGCTTCAGGCAGACACATTTTAGATTTTAGATTCCTGTCTGCAGAAATGGGTGATGGGTAAAGATGGCAGCTTCAAGAAGCCCATGCCAACAGTCTTTGTCCTTAGAAGTTAAGAAGTTCAGATCTGGCCCAAATTACCACCAAGTTGCCTTTGACATAGCAGCAGTGGATGAGAACCTTACCCACTGGCTGTGGACCGGTCCCAGTCTTCATTACTCAGCCCCACATCTGGGTACGTCTGGCTTCGTGGCTTGGTGACTGGGGACAAACTTCCTCTCTGTTTCGGGCTCCTCCAGTCATAGGTGTTGAAGCTGTATCCGGAGGCCTGAAAACTCGTGCCTAAAACATAATAAGCAAGGGGTTATGGTCAGCTTCTGAGAACAACTGAAGAAAGACTCCTTCAGTGACCTGTCCGTGTGTATGGCTGGTATTAGTTTGTACAAGGGCACAGACTTCAACCAAATTTGAGATCATGGCCATCAGGATAATACTAAAATCTTACATTAAAAGCACATCCACACATATTATTTCAACGGATTCTTATAGCAATCCTCAAGGCCCATGCAGGAGAGGCCAGGTCATATGGCTCCTGCCCTCCTCTGTTTGAGCATCTACCCCTTTCTAGAACAAGTTCCAGAAAGTCAGAGCCTCGAATCTCCTGTGTAGATGGCTCAGTGTCTGGCTCCAGGGAGTGCGAGGGCATCTTACTCCAGCTTGTTCACCTGAGAATGGAGTCTTTTACCAGATGTGGGTCCCAGGCTCAAGGAGTAACCAAGGGATGTGGATGGAGTTGGGCCCACAAATGCTAGGGCTAGGCCTGAGGATGGCTTGGTCCAATTAGAAACGGCACTGATAATGAGTTGTTGTTGTTAAGTGCTGGCAAGTTGATTCTGACCCATAACAACCCTGTACAGGGTTTCCAAGGAGCAGTTGGTGAGTTTGAACCACCGACCTTGCAGTTCAAACGAGTTTGCAGTCTGATGCATTAGCCCATAGTGCCACACTAGGACTCCACTGATAATGAGTAGAAAAACCACAGTAACAACAATACAAAAGCACTGGTGATTGTGTTACTTGATGCCTTTGAGTCGACTTTGACTCATGGTGACCTTACGTCGAACAGAATCAAATGTTGCGTAGTCGTGTTCCATCTTCATGACGGTTGGTATGTTTGCATCTTCTGGCACCAAATGAAACAATGTTCTACAGGGAGCTGTAGGGTTTTAATTGGCTGGTTTTTGGAAGTAATGCTCCAGATCTTTGTTTCTTATTATGCCTTGAACCCCTGAAAGCTCTGCTGAGGTTGTCTACCATGAGTTACTACATTGGTACTTGAAATACACC